TATATTATAGCCAGTGGAGTCACTTTAATTGAGCTCAGAACCTTAGTTTGTGACAGCAGAAAGGGACTCACAGATAGTCCGATTCTGCCTTTATTCTTTCCTGCCACCTCCATTTCAGAGATGAAGAAACTGGGACTCTGAGAAGTGACATGGCTTTGTAAGATCATACAACTAGTTAGTGGCAGAAGAGCACAAGCTCTGAAGTCCTTTATCCGCTCATCCACTCCACAGACACTTTTTGTTCTGTGAAGTACCAGGCAGTGTGCTGGAGCAAAGGCCACATGCTCCGGCCTCCCAGAGCACCCAGCACGCATGCAGAAAGCCAAACAGACCCTTTTCTGCCCCACAGAGTAACTGTTCACACTAAGCCATGTACAGGAAGCAGGGAGGAGGCCTTCTTGTGGAATTTCAAAGAAGAGATGGAAGTGGCTAATTTAAAGGAGGATTCCTGCATGAGTTGATAAAGTTTCATGCCCTTTGCCCTGACTTAGGGATATTTCTTGACACCCGGGCTTGCATTGGATGCCTGAGAGTTTGTGGGAACCAGCAGAGATTTCCTCATGGGCAAGGCCCACTTCCAAGGTTAGAAAGAAACTTGAGAGATCATCTGACTGTTCTCCATAGCAGAGTAGTAAGCAAAAGTAGTTTGGGAGGGCTCCTTGGTGAAAATGAATAGGGAAGAGGGAAAGATTCCAACTCAGAAGTACCAGAAGCACTTCCAAACTTTTGGTCTTTAGACGGTGCTAAAAGTTGGCATCTGGGCGATAGAGAAGCAGGAAGAAAGGGTTAGAGGATGGAGGGAAGAGGCGAGTACCTTCCACTTTAAACGACCTTCCTGTATCCATGGTGTTCCTAGCGTCGCTTTGTCACTGCCAGTCATCCCTGCCTGGGCCCTGCTCCCAACCTACTGCCCTGCTTGAAGACCCTCGGTGTCTTGCCTAAACCCTTAGCCCCCACCCACCCCCACCCCCAGCCCTGGAAACTCTCTTTCTGATGGAACCCAAATCACTCCCCTCATCTCCAGGATCCCCTTTGAACTGGTTCCCAGAATTGCCAAAGAACACAGATAAGTAAGGATTAGAACTAAAAAAGACCAATCCTTCCTTTTCCAATGAATGGTGTGTTTGGGAGGAAGGCCCTTGCCCTGTGCATTGGGAGGGGGTGCACTCTGAGGAGCTGCTTTAGTCACGTGACATGGGGCAAGTGCCTACCTTTACCTTGTGGAAGCTCTGAAGCAGGACAGTCACTCACATGCAGGGTTTCGTGCAGGGTACTGACTGTTCCATATATTAACGTAAACGTCCGTTTCATTGTGGGGTGGGTGTAGCTCTTTAGAAATTACTATGCTGTTTACCAATTCAGGCCTCGTCCATTGTGGTGATCCCTAAACTCCAGTTTACAATCCCCAGAGGTGGGCTACTCAGTAAAAGTGCAGATTCCAGGACCTCCCACAAGAGTCTGATTCCACGCCCCAGGTCTGGGGTAAGGCTCAGGTTTCTGTATTTTTAATTAATAGCTAAAGACTGATGTATTTGACTTAGAAAACATCTTCTTCTTCTTCTTCTTTTTTTAATCTGGGGGAGCCAGGCAGTGGCGGACTAAGGAGTAGTTGCGGGCTGGTAGTGAGGTCATTAGGCCTCATTCCCATTCTTTGATTAGGGCAATTCGTGCTTCCTCCGTTGTGGGGAAAGCCCTCAGAAAGTGCATCTTCAAGAAGAGTGCCCCTTGCTCTGGCTGGTGGCTCAGTTGGTTAGAGTGTCATCCCAGTACACCAATGTTGGGGGTTTGATCCGTAGTCAGAGCACATACAAGAAGCAACCAATGATGCATAAATAAGTAGAACAACAAACCGAAGAAGAAGAGTGCCCCTGGCCCCTCTGTGGCAGGATCGCAGTCTCTTCGTGCCCAGCACTTGAGAAAGAGGAGATAGGAAGCAGATGAAAAGGTGAATGAGCACACCCACGTCAGAGTGGCCAAGGAAAGGGACAATTCGAAAGGAAGTGCTTGTGCAGGTCCTGTAATGGCTGCCAGGAGTAGTAAATATGTAAATCAGCCTTAAGATTTCTTTTTCTCTTTTGCAATTAAAAATTTTCAGAAAGTCTGTTATAGCCCATAGCCTGTATTCAGTGTGCAGGGGAGTATCCAGACTGGGAGGAGCATGAAGCAGCGTCACACCATGGAGAAGCACTGATGAGAGGAAGCCAGGATGAGCGGAGGGGAAGTCTGGAGGATTCATTGTGGATAAGAGAGAAAAGCACTTCTCAAAGAACTCTTAAATCATATTGGGAAAATAACCAGAATTCTAGTAATAATGAAGAATGGGACTTGAATTGTTGTTATGCAGATTTTAAAGGGAGGGCAATCCCCCCAAATCTGGAAACCTGGGCTATTTATTTCCATCCCATTTTGCTTATAGTTTCCTTTGTTCCCACCCAGATACCTGAGCACCCTCTATGGCTCCTAGTCCCTTGCAGCATTTCTCAAACTGATATTCCATAGAACCCTGTCCCATAGCGGTGCCCCTTAAGTGAAGGCCCATGCTCAGATCAATTTATTAAATCCTTAGTTAAATGAAATTAGTTCAGCTTCTCTGTCGCTGTGTTTCTCAAAATTTCGTGTGTTGTGGATATTGTGACTCTCCAAGGGAAGAAATATAATTAACAATCTTTCTCAAATGTTTAATTGTGGAACATTTTTTTCTTGAAGCGCACTCGTGAACAGTGTCCAGACAATGTTTGCCTGGAGGCAAGCAGGACAAATGCTGCTACTTGTCCTCCAGTAGTTATTCTCCCCTAATTTGTCATTGAGAAACCGAATTCTAGGTACGCACACGCCCACTCTACATTTCCCAGTGTCCCTTGCAGTTGGATGTAACTATGTGACCAAATTATTGCTAATGAGATGTAAATGGAAATGATGTGTGAAACTTTGGGATGTGTCCTCAGGCAGTGCCATTCCCTTTTTGTGCCTTTCTTCTCCCTGCTGGCTGGAATGCAGATGTGACGGCTGGGGCTGGCGCTAGAGCTGCCATCTGGATTGTGATATAGAAGTCACAGGTTGAGACAGAAATCAGAACCTTGGAGCACCTGGCCAGTCCCGGACTAATGAGCCCAGGCCTTTTTTCACATGAGAAATACAGGTCCATCTTCCTTAGACAACCGTTACTTTGAGTTTTCTGTCATTAGCAGCCATATGGGAAATGTGTAACGACAATCTCTTTAGATAGGTTTCTCTTTATACAATGAAAATGTTTCTGCAAGATGATGTGCAAATCAAAATTTGTTAATTAGAAAATTCATCAACAGAATTAGATTCGTCAACTTATGTCTTTGTGGCATTGTGCAAACACATATCCGAAACAGGGCTGTTTCAATTCTGAAAGGGCACCCAGCATGAAAGTTTTGGGAAAGCAAATAATAACATCCTGGTTGTCTGTTTTCATGGTCTGGAATTATGGTTTTGTTGTATAGAAAGAGACACTTTTTTAAATCCCTTTCCAGGATTCTCTGTCTTTCCTAGACCATTTTTACCCCAAAATGTTTTTCTTCTTATCAATAAGAAATATATATATATATATATAAAATAGAGGCCCGGTGCACAGAAATTTGGTGCATGGGTGGCATCCCTCAGCTTGGCCGGCAATCCGGGCTGAACAGGGCTGGCTGGCCAGGGGAGAGGGACCCCCGGAGATTGACCAGCCACAGGAGGTTGGCTATGGGAGTGCACTGACCACCAGGGGGCAGCTCCTGCATTGAGCGTCTGCCCCCTGGTGGTCAGTGTGTGTCATAGTGACCAGTCATTCCCAGTCTTTCTGCTGTTAGGGTCAGTTTGCATATTACCCTTTTACTATATAGGATAGAGGCCTGGTGCACGGGTTGGGGCCGGCTGGTTTGCCCTGAAGGGTGTCCCAGATCAGGGTGGGGGTCCCGCTTGGGTGCTTGGCCAGCCTGGGTGAGGGGCTGATGGCTGTTTTCAGGCTGGCTACACCCCCTTTAGGGTGGGAGTCCCCACTGGGGTGCCTGGCCAGTCTGGGCGAGGGGCTGTGGGCCGTTTTCAGGCTAGCCAATGACTGAAGCTCCCAGCCTCTCCTTTTTTTCTTTTTTCTTTTTTTGATTCTGGGATTTATTTACCTTCTATAATTGAAACTTTGTTGCCGTCACTGGAGCTAGAGCCAGCTCTTGCTCACTCCAGCTCTGAGGCCGTGGCTAGCTGAAAGCAGGTATCTGGGGTTTGTTTAGCTTCTATAATTGAAACTTTGTTGCTTTTGGAGCTCAGAGCCAGGCCGCAGCAGGCAGGGAACCTTGGCTTCCTCCATCACTGGAGCAAGCAAGCCTCCTGCTCCCTTCAGCTGCATGGCTGCCGGCCGCCATCTTGGTTGGGTTAATTGCATATCGCACTGATTAGCCAATGGGAGGTGTAGTGAAGGTATGGTCAATTACCATGTTTGTCTAATACATATATATATATATATGTGTGAGTGTGTGTGTGTGTGTGTGTGTGTATACACACAGAGAGAGAGAGAGACTACATAGATGTCTCTTCAAAAGATAAATCATTTCAGGGCAAGAAGTGGTAAAATTAAGTCTGTTTTACCATTCCTATATCAAATGGCCAGGAAATGATAGCAACAAAAATAATTCTGTGGTCTTAATAATTTGATCTTACACCAAGCCCTTGTCCACAATTTTCCATGTAGGTTTCCAATGTATACTGTAAATCAGTAGTTCCCAAATTTTGCTGCATATTAGAATCACTGGAAGGATTTTAATAATCCAAAACCAGGTCACCCCAATACCAATTAAAGCAGAACGTCTCAAGGTAGCACTTAAAAATGCCCAGGTGATTGTAATATTCAGCAGAGTTTGGGGACCATTGCTATATTTTCTAGGGCATTATTAAGACTAATGTTAATGTCAGGGGATTATTCTGCCTTGTCTTGAACACCACATGGGAATAAAACTTACTGAAACTGGAGTTCAAGTGTAAACATTGAGAAAGTGATACTCTTAGTACCCTTGTCATCTCCCATCTCCACTTGAACTGTTCAGCAATTAATTTCTTCATTAATGAAAGGGAGATAATAGTTACTTCATAGTTTGACTAAGGACTGGATGAAATTTTGGAAAATAGACAATGCTGTGTCTGGCACAGATCAGCACTTTACTAAATGTTTTGAAAAGTCTACACTTGTTTAATGAGGACACTTTCAGGGCCGCCTTACCCAACTCTCCCTCTGAAGATTAAGGTCTTTTCCTTTCCAAAGGCATCCAAGCACACTCCCCTACAGGCTCCTCCCTGCTGTTCTTTCTACTGGGCCCACCCCACGCTCAACTGGCTCCCTACCAGTTACTGTCAGAGAACAGCGAGACACAAAGGACTTTCTCAGATCCATGATCACAAGGATATGTTACTTGTGAAAGCTACAGCAAAAAGGAAAGGTAAGAGGAGCTGACAGAGCCCATTGGGATTGGCAGAAGGAGAATTGGGAAGGACAGATTAGAAGACAGTGCTAAAAGCATGAAGAATTGGGTGGAATTAGAGTTGAGACAATTATGGGAAGGAACTCATTCAGCAACAGGAATGAATCAAGCAGGCATGGGTACTTTTGAGCACCTCTGTCTGTCCGTCTCTGTGTTAAGCTCTCTGACAGATTCGGGAGAACTAGAAGATCAGATACCTGCCATCAAGGAGTGATGGAAGTAAAACAAATGGAAATAATTAGAGATCACTTCAGTGCCAAACTCTGAGAGTTGAAATGGTCAGAAAGGTCTTGGATCTTGCAGGCTAAGCATGATTTGAATTAGCAGATGAGGGAAATAAAATGTCCTAAGGGTGGGGGAGCAAACGATGGGGATGGAGGGACTCTCATTACCCACTGCTACTTTCTGTTTCCCCTTACTCTATAGGAATTAAAGCCACAGATGTAAAGGGACTCTTACCCCTGATGATACTAATGGTGATAATTTTCCTGATGATTGTGTTCTGGGAAAACGAGCTGTATGAAGAAACAGTGGCGTCAACCATAGAACACTTGCACGTGGACTACCCTCAGAGTAATATTGCTGTAAGGTACTGCAACCACATGATCTTAGAAAGAATCATCAAGGAACCTGACAACACCTGCAAAAAGGAGCATGTCTTCATCCACGAGAGGCCTCGACAGATCAATCGTGTTTGCACTTCTCCCAAGAGGACGGCTTGCCAAAACCATTCCAGCATTTTATGCTTCCAGAGTGAGACAAAGTTCAAAATGACAGTCTGTAAGCTCATTGAAGGTATCAGATATCCTGCCTGCAGGTACCACATTTCCCCCACAGAGGGGTTTATTGTAGTCACTTGCGATGACATGGGGCCCGTTAACTTCCAGAAATATGTTGAATAACTTGAGACCAGCACCTGAATCTGAGATCCTCTCTGCTCCTCTCCCAGGGGCACTGGTTCTGGTTCTTCCTGGTGCACATCTGACTGTGGACATGGGGGAAAGCCCAAGTGAAATGGTAGCCACCAGTAATTCATTTATCCTTCCAGTATGGCTGAGCTGGAATCTTCTTATTCTGCTTCAATAAAAAACTAAATGAGCTGGAATCTTCTTACTCTGCTTCAATAAAAAAACAAAACTCTACCGAATTAAATCATAAACGATGCATGTGTTTCAATTTCGTGTTCCTTTTCTTTGGGTCATTTGATGAGAGCCAAGAGTGAATCCTATGCAGGACTGGGATTAGGATAAGGTGAGCGAGGCACTCACTTTACATGCAAATTTTAAGGGCGGCACCCTCCCCCAAGTAATCTAGATAAAGAATATTTTTTTAAAATCAAAATTAATGCAAAAATCTCTGATGAACAAAATATCTCAATTTTAAATCAAGGCCAATCTGACAGGGTTGGATTTAAGGTGAGCGAAGTACATGAGTTGTGCCCACACAGGGCCAGTCCTGTTATCTACATTTTTGATATTTGTTCATCAGGGATTGTTTTGAATTAAATTAATTCTTAAATGTCGCATTAAAAATATCATCTTGATTACTGGGCTTTTTGGTGCCCCTTAAATTTCATACCTAGAGCAAGTACTGCATTCATTCGACCCTACTTGGTTTTAAGTGTAATGGCAACTAGGGTCATCTCAGGATTTTCTCTTAAAGATGGCATATATAACCCAAGCTGCAGCTGCTCCTGTTCAGCGCTTCCTCTGCGCCTTGAAAGAAAGGGAAAAAGAGATCAGAAGGAGCCAGAAGCCATTTCCTTGGAAGACTGTGGAGAGAAACGGATAAGGATATCTCAGGGAGACATTGAGACTCTCAGAGCTCATTGTACCTCCTCTTGGCATCCCCAGAGGAAACAGGAAGGACTTTGACCAGACTACTAATTCTTTTCCTCTTTTAGTTCTTACAACTGGACTGGTTCTTTAGTTATTTCACTTTCAACTATGGGCAGCGTATCTTTAGAGTTAGAGGGCAAAGGGAGAGAAGGAAGGGAGTTTGATGAAGTCCTCTTCCTCTCTGAGCCTCAGTTGTCTCATCTGCAAAGTGAGGGAGCTTGAACGAGATAATCTTTGAGATTCTTTCCAGGCCTATTACACCACAATTCTATTTCTTAGTAGTACAGAAACTAGCCTTGTTGGAAGGGAAGGTTAGTACTGGGGAGTAGTAAGAAAGAAGGGGTATTTGGCAGGTAAGTGCCAGGTTATGGGAAAACTAGTTCTGAACTATGACATTTCAATCCTGTAATTGAGAGCCGGGAACTCCTACAGTGAGCTACAGCAGCCCCAGGGATGCGTGAGCTTCATAGGGTCCATTCTGTTCCGATCTTTTCAGTTGAGAGACTTCAACTATTGCATTATTTATTTGTACTTAATTAAAGGTTAGATCAAAGAAGGAGGTACACCTATGCTAGTTGTTACCTCTGTCTTTGTAAGCAACAAATTCTAATTGATTAGATTAGAGGGGAGGAGAGTGACAGAGGTAAGTCAAGGACATGGGCAAGGCTTACCCATGTGAGGTGGCCCTTTCACAGTTGAGTTTCATTACCATTTCTCTGCAGAAACCCATTGTCACCATTGTCTTCATGGATGTTGGAATGCCACCAGGGGACCAGGGCCTTCAGCATCTTCAGATGCTGAGCAGGAACAGGTGGTCCTTAGTATATGATGCGGAGTCCTGGTTGCAGCATCATTTCCTGGGTGAAACTTTACAGTAGCTAAAATGTGTCCTTTATGGCTCCCATTTCTAAGTTTTTTGTTTTGTTTTAAGTCTCACCTGAGGCTATTTTCCCCCCATTGACATTTAGAGAGTGAAAGGGATGGGGGGAGGATAGATATAGAGAGAGAAACATCTAATGCCAATTAATTGCCTCCCGCTATTAGTTGCCTCCCACTCGCGCCCCACCAGGGACTGAACCTGCAACCGAGGTACATGGCCTTGACTGGGAATCGAACCTGTAACCCTTCACTCTGTAGGCTGATTCTCTCACCACTGAGCAAGCAGTGTTTGTTTTTATTAATTTCTACGTTCTGAATTCTGATTCCTTGTCCTCCTCCTCTCCCTAAGCTTTATTGTCCTTCCCAATGATTTCTCCTCCTTTACTCACCTCACCTCCCTCTTGTTAATTAAAAACAAAATTTTACAGATAAATGCATTCCCATTAAAGTGTCAGTATGCAACTGAGAGTGTCAATGGAAACTATCCTCACAGTATTTTGAGTCAATGAGGATCAAAGCCCAATTCAAATGAATTGTGACGTTTTACACATTTGCAGTTTGGGTGTTGTTGTTATTTCTTCTTATTTACTTATTCTTTGGGAGGGGAGGGGGGAGGGTTGTTGTTGTTTTTAATGGGCACCTAGCAGCCCAAATCAAAACCAGATAGCTGGGATTTCTGCCCACTTGAAATACATGTTCCAGAAAAACTGGGAATCTACACTGTTCTTATTTTTCTCCTTATTGTCTGCTTTCCTATTATCACCTCACTGTTTATATCGATGGCAGTCAAATTTTAGGAAACAATCTAAATCTTCTTCCAGCCTCCCCTCAACCTACACCAAGTCTATGTTCAAGGTACAAACATGAACACATCCACTTAATTCTTAATAATCTATTAATAAGCAATCAACCCAATTATTTTTTTTATTAAATCTTTGTTGTTCAGATTATTACATTTGTTCCTCTTTTTTCCCCCCATAACTCCTCTCCTCCCAGTTCCCACCCCACCCTCCACCCTCACTCCCCACCCACTGTCCTCATCCATAGGTGCACGATTTTTGTTCAGTCCCTTCCTGCATCTCCCACATCCCTTTCCCCCCAAGAATAGTCAGTCCACTCCCTTTCTATGCCACTGATTCTATTATAATCACCAGTTTATTCTGTTCATA